CTGGTACCCTGGGCCAAAGCTCTGCCTACCTGGCCCTTGTTACAGTGCTGAGGCTGATGACTGACTGTTATTGACTTGAAGTTTATACAGTGATTGTATCTGGTGGATGCTGGGTACGTTTTGTTCAGAGTGAGTGAGTGAGTGAGTGTGTGTGTGTGTGTGTGTGTGTGTGTGTGTGTGTGTGTGTCTAAATAAGGTCCTCTTTTTTTAGCAAGCCATCCCTGATTTCCTCAGCCCGCAGTGATGATCTCTTCCTCCTCCTAGCTCCTATACCTGGAAGCATTCAGACCTCTCAGTTTTTGGTCTACACAGTCTTGGGCTTTCCACATTCAAGTTTTGTCTCCTAAGCATGTTACAAATTTAATGGTGGAGAAGGTCTTATAATAATGGCCCACCACAGTGCCTGGCCCATGGCAAGCATGTAATAATTCCTTTTTGACTGAATAATTAGGCAAACATTTATTAAATGCCTACTATGTACCAGAGGATGGGAAGACAAGAACAACTCGGTGACTCCCATCAGGACCTTTACATGGGTCTGCACGTGTATAGAAATATACTATAGGTTAGCAGAGTAGTATGACCCAGAGGTAAAGGAGAAGACTGGAGAGAGTACTCCAGGCAAACTGAAGGATGAGAATGCACAGCTCAGTTGGGGGAGGAATTGGGAAGCCTTTTGGAAGGGGCTAAGGCTTGAGCTAAGCCTAGAAGGAGGAGGAGGATTTTGAGCTCTAAGACGAGGAGGAAGTAAATTGTAGGAAAGGAGGAATCCATTGAGCCAAGAGCAGATTGAGGATCAGCTATGTGGACCATGTCAATAATATTAGTCAGTAAACATGAAGTAAGCACCTATGATGTGCCTGGCACTGTGCTAAGTGTTGTGGATACAAATACAAATACAAAAAAAAAAAAGAAGTTCTTATCCTCAAGAAACGGGATGGGGAAAGAGAGCAGGGGGAGGGTGGAGAAGGGGAGGCTTCTTCCAGAGCAGGGCAGCCAGGTGAGAGATGAGCTCCCCCTTAAATGCAGGCTTAGAGTTCATGGCTCCACCCTTCAATCAGAGGGGCAGGAGGCAGTGATGAGGTGGAGGACCAAGGCTCATAGGATACTGCATGACATTGAAGTTTTCCGAATTCCATCATGGAATGGATGGAAAGGAGGAGAGAGACATAGAAAGATAGGGCAAACTCATGGTCTGGAATGGTCTGGATGGTCTGAAATCCTTCTGGGATCCCAGTGGGTGGGGTGCTGGGTTATGTCAGAAGAGACAGACAAGGTGAATGAAGACAGAGCTGGATGAAGAAAGCTACAGAGATGGTGACAGAGACAGTGGAGGAGAGGCAGAGACAGAAAGAGGGAGAAGTAGAGATGGAGTAGATGCTCAATAAAATATTGATTGAAGAATCTAAAAACTGTATGTGTGTGTGTGTGTGTGTGTATGTGTGTGTGTGTATACACAAAGGTGAAGGACTATGGGTGTGGAAAACTACAAATAATGTCAGACTTTTTCCAACTGTTGACTAGTTTTGCTCAACTAGCCTCTTTCTTTTCTTCTTTCCTTCCTTCCTTCCTTCCTTCCTTCCTTCCTTCCTTCCTTCCTTCCTTCCTTCCTTCCTTCCTTCCTTCCTTCCTTCTTTTTGTTATAACGGATTGTTCTCTGTGATGGGGTGGAGGGAAGGGACACCTCGGGTGACACAGGTGATATAAAAACAATGAATCAATAAAATTAAAATCACATTTTGATAAAAGCAAACAAGTCTAAACCAAAGCAAGGGCATTATGGTCAGATCCCTCCATCTCACTGATGAAGGGATCAAATATCAGAACTGAAAAAAGGGAGATTATAGAGTTTCAGTCCCTCCCTTGTTTAACCTAGTCCTCTTACTTTTCTATCAAAAGCAGGGGCCTGGGTGAAACGATTTTTTGAACCTACTCCCAACTCATACCTGCTAATTTCAGAACCCAGCATCTTCTTTCCTCTTGTCCCTATCTGATTTTATGAGACAAGCATGGGGTTCCTTAACAGGACCCAAGCCCTGGGACAGAAGCCCAAGGCTCTCCTACCCCTGACTCATGGGGTATCCTACCCTGACTCATTTCCCCTGGAGGAAACTCATGATGTTTCTCCCTTCTCCTCTCTTGTTCTCAGGGGGCTGAGGCTTCCCCATCTGATTAGTGGGCATAAGGGTGTGGTTCTTCCTACCCTGGGGCTGGTGGGAGGGACATTGTTTTAACACTCCTTAACTGCCCAGGGCTGGGTGCCACCTTCTTGTCTCTCTAAGGTCCTCTATCCAAGCCTGCTCCCAACTCCACCCATCAGAGCTAGTCTGGATAGAAAACTCATTGATACTCAGGTATCACAGTTAGAGTGGTGGTAGTGGTGGTGTAGACCTCTGTTTTACTTGAGGGGACCAAGGCCATACTCAAAAGAAATGAAGCTGCAAGGGTGGAATGAGGAGAGATTTGGGGGGGGGTCACAAGAATCTTCCCAGAGCCTCCTGTATCACGTTATGATGGGATGAGTTCCAGAGCTCATCCAGAACTGGGCTTTGAGGGTGAGGCTGGCAGGGTCACTGGCACCATAGGCATTGCTGTGGTCTGAGGGAGGTGTGGTCCCATCTCTTTCTGCACACAGCAGTCCGCCCACCGGGGATTGAGAAATACAAAAATCACTGCCAGAGGTTGGGAAGTTGGGAGCGGGGGTGGGGATGGTGATGGTGGTGGGGGTAGATCTCTGAGTAGGGGTTGCTGGCCAGCACCCTCCAAGGTGAGTCCTCACTGGTATGTGGGTTGGTGTGTGGGGAGTCCAGGGTCCTGCCTGAGGGCACTAGGAAGTTAGAACCACCCAGTGGGTTGCTGAATGGGTGGTCTCCTAGGTCACTAAGGCTGTCTTCCTGCTTTGGAGAGGCTATCCTAAAGAAAGCATGATGGGGGAGGGAAGCAGGCAGCCAGTTAAGAAGGACAGGAGGGTAGCAATAGGCAGAGACATTGGGAAACACAGACGCAGATAGGTATACAAAGAACAAGAGGAAGTGAAGAGCCAGAGAAGGTGGAATTTGGACAGAGGGACACAGACAGTAGCAGAAAGCGGAGACAGATGCAGTGGAGGAGAGGCAGAGACAGAGAGAAAGGGAAGAAGAGATAGAGACAGTTGAGAGGCAGACAGCCATAGGGAGACAGACAGACACAGACACATGGAGTGAGCAGAGTGAGACTTGGGAGACTGAGGGAGGGGAGAGGTGGTGGGTGGGGCCAAGGGACCACTGTCAGGCTAGGCAGCTGCTGAGGCTACTTTTTCAGGATCAGACACCTACCAGGCCAGTAAACTCAGAGGATGGCTGGTGGAAGCACCCACTTGACATCCTCTCTGAAGTGCCCTGAAGCCCCTCCCCTGGTCTAGTCCCTGCAGGGAACCCTGTGAACCACCTGGGACATTGGGCCCAATGGACTCCAGAACCATTCACCAGTCCCAGGCCCACCCCTCTTGCAGAGAGGGGGGAGGCAGTCATTCCCCATTATCCGTGGCCTTGGAGGGATGGGGGTCCTGGATAATCAGAATTTTGGTCCTCAGCACCTCAACATCCTTCTCCTCCAAATCCTTCCAGTAAATTCACAATTCCCTTAGATTGGCAGAGGTTCTTTATCTGGGGTCTGTGAACTTATTTTTTAAAAACTATTTTAATAATTCCATAGTTGGTTTCCTTTGTTAACCTCTGCATTTCATTTTATGCATCTAAAACTGAGAATAGGCTTCACCAGACTGCCCAAAGGGCCCATGACACAGAAGAGGTTAAGGCTCTGGGGTTTAGGGTTTGCTTCCTCAGTCTCCCAATGCCTAGACCTTAGAGGGGAGAGGCCAGAGGACAAGCTGGGGAAGAGGAGGCGGGTGGCAGAACTGGAAACTGTCCCAAAGCTGGGATAAACCACAGCCTAGCTAAATCACAGGCTGAATGGACGGCACACTGACCTCATGCGCTTCCACGCTCCCTGCCTCAGTTTCCTCTCCTGTAAAATGAGAGGGCTAGACCAGGTATCCTCCCAAGTCTCTTCCAGCTCTAATCCCTCTCATGCTATGATTCACTCTAAGCCTGGATAACCCTCAGGCTGGACAATCCTCAGCCTGGATAAGCCACAGACTGGACAAACCACGCCCTGAACAAACTGCAACCTGGATAATACAGCACCAAGTACCGCTGTCCTAGGAATCAGCAGACACTCTTAACTCATTTCATCTCCAGCAGTATGCAGAACTTGTCCCCAGAGAGACCGCCATTCAGACCCTTGTCCTAGGGACCAAGTAGGATCATTCATAAACCAGTTGACCTCAGTGCGGGCTGCAACCCAGCTTGTCAATACGAGAGAGCAATGAAGGACATCTGTTTGTTTCTGGGGCTTGGCAGTCCCGTTTCTAAACTCCACATGGCTGGGGGTGGGGCACGGCTCGGCTCGGGTGGGGTAAAGGTGGGGGGTAGCGGTGGCAGTGGATGCCCTGACAGGAGCAGAGCTGTGTAGACTGCAATTCCTGCCTGGTGGTCCTGGCCCAGAGCCCTGGAGTTGAGGCTGGTCCCAAGGGCACCCTGCCCAGCCCACCCTCCATGGATTCCAGCACCTGATGAGCTCCAGACAGCTCTCCCTGTGCCCCACCCCTCAAGGTGGGCCCCTAAGAGGGCACTCTCCAAGTCCAGATGTTCCACAATATAAGACTGGGCTTTGCAGTGAGGGGGTAATCACCCACCTGAAAACCGTGCCCATCATGGGAGGAGGCCTGGGTCCCATTTACTTACTTGGGCTTGGGACCTGGGGTCTAGGGAGCAAGGTGTTTGTAAATCAGAGGAGATGTGTCTCAACATGGACTCTTTCCTCTGCTTCCCCCTATCCCTTGCTCATCGCCTCCCTCTGGTCCCCGTAGCCTCAACTTTCTCTCCTGCCCTCTCCCCGCAAAAACGGCGCTAGTTTTAGTGGGACCACGGGAGGAGGGGAGCAGTCCCTGAAAGACTCACCTCCAGAAACAGGGCCGGGCAGTAGCGCACATAGGAGCAGAGAGATGAGAAGCTGGATCAGCGGCCCCCTCCGCGGCCGCTGCTGGGGTGGTCTCAGGGCTAGAAGCATCTTTGCTGGGTGTCTCAGATCAATGCCCGGAGCATTTCCCAGTGAGAACTCAGGAGAGGCAAGATGTGGAGTGGGTCCCCTCCTGACTACTACTATATTTAATAGCTCTCAGAGCAAGGAGGAGGGGCCAGCAACCCGCTAGTCAAACTGGGTTCAAACAAGCACCTCTCAGATTTCAGGCTGGGTCTCCCCCCTCCCTCATCAACTCTTCTTAAAGGGCCAGTGTAGAGCTTGACATTAGAATTCGGTTTCTTTTCCCCTGGGAGGTGAGGGCTTGCCAGTTGGAACAGAGAAAGGTTTTCCCTCTTTCCTGGCTGAGACCAGACTTGGGAAGGGTGTGTGTGGGATTAATGAGGAGAGGACCCTTAGAGGTGCCCCCCTTCCAACATCATCACTGGTTCCATACAATTTTTTCCTGAAGGTATTCGGGGCTTGGGGTCTGGATTCTGGGCTGAGTTCCCCTTAACCTGGATTAGAGCTGGAAATCTTTCTGTCAGGGATACTCTGATTTACCCTCACCCATCCACTCAAAAGGTATCTAAAGATCTTTGGGGTTCCTTCTCCTAGTTCGCATCTGGAATGGGGGAGGGAATGGGATTAAGGAGGCTAGGATGGTCCAGGACTCTATTTGTAATTTAGGTCCGGGGTCTGGGTCACCATTGCCAGCCAAAAAGATCGGCTTGGCCAGTGCCTCGACTCAATCAGCCCCTCCTTGGACCTGGGCAATGTGTGTGAACGGCTATGTTCTCTGCAACAGTCTGGTTATACACCAGGAGCTAAAGCCTCCACACGTCTGTGTGTCTGCTCATGAACCTAGCCTTGAACGTGTACATGTGTTCCCATCTGGGTGTGCTAGCCAAAGTATGGGCATATTAGTGTGAGGGTGTGTGTGTGTGTGTGTGTGTGTGTGCGCGTGTGCCCAAACCTCTCACAACCTGGCCACAATCCTTCTTTCTTCTTATTACACACTGACCCTCTTCATGGACACTGCAATGGAGACAACCTGGCTTTTTTACTGTTCCTCCTAAATCACATTCCATCTTCCACCTTGGCACTGACTGTCCCCCATACCTGGAATTCATTCTCCCCATATCTCTTTGTGTCTGCAACCCCAAAGTTCCCTTCAGGACTCAGTTCAAACCCCTATTTTGCACAAAGCCTTTTCTGACCCCCCATTTGCTCACCCTTCCTCTTAAATTATCTCCTATCTATGTTGTATATACACACGGATGCTTGAGGCACCCCTGCCCCAAAGCCCATTGGTATGGGCCTCTCTATTGGTGGAGATGAAGTCCCTGTCCTGTGTGAGGGGTGGGGTGGAGGTGCCAGAGGGGAGAGCCTTGGTTCTCAGCCAGCCCCACTTTGGGGACCCTTCAAGCCCCAAGTCTCTCCTTACTCCCTTCTTTGTCTCAGCTGCCAAATTGATTTTCTTAAAGTGGAAGTCTGCCTATGTCACTCCTAAAGACCCAATAAACTCCATTGGCTCCCTATTCCCTCCAAAGTCAGGTAGAAAATCCTGTTTGGCATTTCAGTGTTTAACAACCTGTCCTTTCCTTCCTACCTTTCGGTCTTCTTACACTGCTTCTGCTCTACATACTTTATGGTCCAGTCTCACTGGACTCTTTGCTGTTCCTAGAACGTGACGCTTTGTGCCTTTGTACTGGTCCCCAGACCTGGAACATCATCATCATCATCGACAACAACAATAACAACAACAACAACCGTTTTAGTTGTGTTTGACTCTCTGTGAGCCCATTTGGAGTTTTCTTAGCAAAGATACTGGAGTGTTTTGAAATTTCCTTCCCCAGCTCATTTTATACACGAAGAAACTGAGGCAAACAGGGTTAAGTGACTTGCCTGGAGTCACACAGCTAGTTAAGTGTCTCAGCCTGAATCTGAACTCAGGTCTTCCTCATTCCAGGCCTGGCGCTCTATCCACTTCACTACCTAACCTACCCCGTGATAATAATAATGACAGCTAACATTTATATAGCTCCTACTATGTGCCAGACAAGGTGCTAAGTGCTTTACAACTATCTCATTTGCTCCTCACAACAACCTTGAGAGGTAGGTGGTATTATTATCTCCATTTTACAGGTGAGGAAACTGAGGCAAAAAGCAGTGAAGTGACTTGTCTAGGGTCACACATCTGGTGTCTGAGGTCAGATTTGAACTCAGACCTTCATGATTCCAGGCTCTGTGCTTTATCCAATGGACCACTTAGCTTCCTCACCTCTGCCTCTTAGCTTACCTCTGGCTTTCTGCAAGATTCAGCTCAAACCTTACTCTCCTGTCCCCGCCAACTGCTAGTGCCTTCCCCTCTAAGATTACCTCCTGTTTGTTTTGTATATATATTGGATGCACTTAATTATTTTCATGTTTTTTTTCTCTTGACAGAATGTGAGTTTCCTGAGGGCAGGTACTATTTTTGCCATTCTCTGTATATCTGGCACTTAGCCTGGTGCCTGGCATCTGGTCAGCACTTAATGAAGAATCCTACTCACCTCTCTGATCATGAGGTGGTGGACTCTGGATGCTGAATGAGACATACTTTTTTTTTTTTTGGGCTAGGCAATGGGGTTTGCCCAGGGTCACACAGCTAGTACATGTCAAATGTCTGAGGCTGGATTTGAACTCAGGTCCTTCTGAATCCAGGGCTGGTGCTCTATCCACTGCGCCACTTAGCTGCCCTGAGACATACATTTTTGGACATGGCCAGTACGAGAATTTGTTTAGCTCAACTACACTTATTTGTTATGAAGTCTTGTTTTTTTCTTTTTCCTTTGGGAAGGAAAAGATGTGGGATAGAAAAAAATAAACACAAGAGAATTGAAAACAATTCAAGAAAATAGATGCTTGCTGACTGACTGATTGATCCCTTAGGACTCTGGGTGATGTGGAAGGGGAACTAATGAATGAATTCATACACGTCAGTGGGAGGATCAGTGGGAGAAAAGTGCTGGGTTGGAATCAGGGAGCTGCCACAAACTTGCTGTAAGATCTTGAGCAAACCTTTCCTGTCTCTGGGCCTCAGTTTTATCTTCTGTAGAATAGACTGTCAGACCCCACAATCTCTAAGGTCCTGTAGAACTCTCACATTCTCACTTGTGGAGTAGTGCTAAGAGCACCAAGTCAGAGGACTTGGGTTCACATCCTGACTGCTCTTTGTTATCTGGGTGACCTTGGCTGTGTCATTTTACTTTTCCATACCTTAGTTTCTCTTTTGTAAGGTCCCTCTCAATTCTAGACCTATGATCCTAGGACTATGAATCGGATTTTGGCTGGCACTGGTGAGGTTTCCACCTTGAGTCTACTTCCATCTTTTCCTGTGCTCCCTCTCCACATTGGGCCCCAGGTAGTATAATCAGATACCTGAAACCTGGTGGACCCTGGGGAAACCCAGGCAGTCTGAGTAACAATCTCCCCAAGAGGTCATATACTCCAAGCCCAAAATAGACATCCTTTCTGCCTCCATACCTTCAGCTGCTGCTCATCCTTCTTCCCGAAGTCTTGGGAAGAATACCTGTGTGGCAAAGGAAGACCCTTCCCAGTGAGCATATAATGGGGGACAATAGGGAGAAGCAGATTCCTGAGCCCAGAGACACCTGGTGCTAAGGGCTTGACCTGCGAATTTTGTGATGCAGGGTCTTGGAGGGAAGGTAATTGAGATAAGTTAATGATCAGTAATGCTTCTCTGGGTTGGTGACACAATGGAGTTTTAATGTTGGCAGGTTAGGCAGTGTGACAATGGAAGGGGTGATACATCTATACTGAAGGGGAGCCGCCCCAGTGCCCCTTACATGACGTACTTAAAGCTAGCCTTGGGGGCCAGATACAAGGCAAGGAACTCATGTTTCAGCAAATCCCAAGCAGTTATTTTTCCAGGTTGGGCCAGTTTGTTTAACCAGACACAAGGAGACAAGGTTAGGACTTCTGGGCACTGAAGGACAAGTGAATGAAAATGTAAACCAATATGCAAATGAGGGGAAACATGTAAATGAAGGCTTTAAAGAAAGCAGAGTTGTGTGGAAGAGTGAGGCTCAGGTGTTCTCTATCCAGGCTGTCAGGCTGGCAGTCTCAGCTCAGTATCTGGCCATGGCCTGACTGCTTGATTAACATTTGGTGAGCATTTTCAAGTGCCCCTTGGTGCTGAATGAAGCAGCTGAGCAGAGATTCATAGATTCATAGACAGCTGCATCAAGAAGGCACCTTAGAAATCTGCCAGCTTATGTTTCTAGAGGCAATGTGGAATAGGGGATAGTGGGTGGGTGGATTGGGAAGACCCAAATTCACATTCTGCCTTAGACATTTACTATTGTGTGACTCTGGGTAAATCATTTAATCTCTCTCAACCTCAGTTTCTCCATCTGTAAAACAGAGATAATAATAGCATCTAGCTCCCAGGATTGTTGTATCAAGAGATAAAACTTGTAAAATGTCATTCTAACCTTAAAGCATTATATAAATGTTAGTTCTGCTTCCTCCTCTGTCTCTTTCTTCCTCTTCCTCTTCTTCTTCTTCTTCTTCTTCTTCTTCTTCTTCTTCTTCTTCTTCCTCTTCCTCTTCTCTTCTCTTCTTCTTCCTCTTCCTCTTCTTCTTCTTCTTCTCTTCTTCTTCTTCTTCTTCTTCTTCTTCTTCTTCTTCTTCTTCTTCTTCTTCCTTCTCCTCCTCCTCTTCCTTCTCATAATTCTTTGTATTCTTCACATTCATCATTTCTTTTTTTCTTTTTTTCTGGTGAGGCAATCAAGGTTAAGTGACTTGCCCAGGGTCACACAGCTAGTAAGTTTCAAGTGTCTGAGGCTGGTTTTGAGCCCAGGTCCTCCTGACTCCAACGCTGGAGCTCTATCTGCTGTGTCACCTAGCTGCCCCCATAATTTCTTGCAGTTCAGTAATATTCCGTTATATTTACATACCATAATTAATTTAGTTATTCCCCAGTTGATGGACATCTACTTTGTTTCCAACTTTTTGTTAACACAAAATTTTTTAATAGTATATTATATTTAGTATAGCATAGTAAATATGTTTTACTATAAATATTTTGGAGTATATGGGATCTTGCTTTCTCTCTTTGATCTCCTTGGGGGTCTAT